ATTTTTTGGGGTGTTTTTAGGGTCTTGCAGGAGTTTACAATAATGTCTATTGACTTGGGTCGATAGACTGATTAAAGTTAGATTTTTTTCTAGTTTAAACAAAACTAAGTCACTTCAGAAACACTGTCTGGTGAATTCCATTTCACGGTAAAAAAAAACAGATCAGCGTTGACTCAACAGTTCAAAACACTGATGGTGGCCGTAGGCTGCTGTTTAACATTCAATTATCATTTAACGCTGAAGTGACGTTTGTTGATTATCTGAGGGGGAAACGACGTGCAGGTAAAAATAGATGAATCCACCTGTAGGGGGCAGCTGCCGATAACCAGACGTCTCTGTGGCACGTGCACCGACTCAGAGCTGCTGCTGCTGCTGATAATAATAATAATAATAATACATTTTATTTATAAGCGCCTTTCAAGTCACCCAAGGACACTGTACATAAACAAAAACAAAAAACAGAACAAACAACACATACGCTCAAGCAAAAGCAATGTCGAGTGTAAACAGAAACAGAGAGCAAGTGACAGATCAGATGACAGGAACAGCTCGGAGGAAAAGCTCTCTCACCCTCTCTCTCTCTCTTTACCCGCGCACACACACACACACACACACAGAGAGGGAAAGTGATTGACAGCTCCCACAAGGGTTTTAGTGAATTATTCAGTGCAGTTTGATGGAGCGACAGACGGGAGAGCGTGCAGAGAGACCGAACATCAGTCGGAGTCACAGACCGAGGGAGGGGAGTGAGACGGGCGCTGAGACAGACAGGTGTAAGGCTGGGGGGGGGGGGCATCAGAACTTTCCTCCAGGCGTTGGTTTATTCATAATCAATAACTATTGAATTTTACATAAACCTGTGTACATTTGAAGTCCCTGGACTTTAAATTCTTAAAGAAATGTTTTTTTTTATGTTCCCCGTGTTTCTTCACTTGCTGCTGGTCACCAGCTCAGAGGAAGTTATAAATCTGACACACAGACAGCAACAAAAAGACAGTTTGTTCCAACTTATGTGACCTGGAAGAGATGAAAAAAACACAACTGGTTTTTTTAAGAACAGAACTTTTTTTTTCAAAAAAGTAAAGACTCTGCTGAAGGATTCCCTTTAAAAAAAGAGAGACAACATCTGATCAACATCTGAGACTCAACCAAGCAGATATAAAAAATCAAAATATCTAATACTGTAATAATAAAAGAAATTTTGTCAACAAAAGAGGCAGAACAGGACCATCAACCTCAAACTTCTCACCGTTTCACTTCTATTTATTTACTCCTATTAGCCAGAGCAGGACTTCATTAAACACTAAGACTAAACAGCTAACATTAACTGTGCTTCCAAAGTCAATAAGTGCCTCTAAAACAGCTGCAGCGTGTGTGACTGACCAATCATGTACAACTTTCACAACAGAAGAATAAATAAAAAGTCACATTTACTGAAGAGGAACTGCCATAGAAATTCCCTCTCTTCTGATTTCAAAACTAACGTGGCTAATCAGCTAGCCCAGTAGCTATTCTTGTCACATTTATGTCATTTGACAGCTTCCTGCACCTAATATTTTCCTGCGGCCTGTGAAAATGATTTGCATCCAGTTTTATTTCAAGTGAGTAAAAAAAAAAAAAAATTGTAAAAATATTTTAGCATCACGACAACTGGATCAGGTTACATTTTTGGAACGGATATGATGTAACTTCTCTCCTGTTACTGACTTCTTAGGCACAGCAACACTCCTGCCCTGAAACATGTGAATTCAATGATCTTCACTAAAAGTGGGGCAGCCAGTAGATTTTGGCTGGACTAAACTGAAACAAAACTGTGCCACCGTTGGCCAAAACAAAAGGATTCAATTAAACACATTTTTGCTCAGGAGATTATGACAAGTACAGTGCAACATTAACCCATTCAGTGTTTACAAGTACAGTGCAACATTAACCCATTCTAATGTATATTCTTTCTGTTTGTTTCTTTAAATCAGTAGCTATAAATAGCAGTGTGAAACTCATCTGACTGATGGTGAAACTCACTTCAACAGAACACAGTTTTAAAACATTTTGACTGAAACGATTCTTTAGACAAACGACAGCTACAGTTCAGTTCAGTGTTTGGTACTTGAGGACGTAAGTCAAAGGTTCAGGTCAGAATTGAAAGACTTGGTGTTTGGTACTTGAGGACGTAAATCAAAGGTTCAGGTCAGAATTGAAAGACTTCATAATAATAATGGCAAATTGTCACCTCATGTTTAAATGAACACACACTAATATATACACACACACACACACACACACAAAGAGGAGCACTACCCTAAGCAGCAGGCTAACCACCTGAGCTGGCTAACCATTTGGAACCATTTCAATTACTTCTCTCTGGGATTGATTGATCTGGTCTGGCACAGACAAATAAAACCCCCAATTTGATTGTGCTCCAAACTACAACCCTCTCTGACCACTGAACTCAAAGCACCACTGCAGCTTCTGTTGATTTAAACTCTGGACGTTCTGCTACAAAAACAAACAAGAAAACATTTCATACAATGTATAAAAAAATTTATACAAAATATATATTTCTGTCAGGTCCATTAGTGTTTGGAAAATAGAGTGGAGTGTCTAATCAGAAAAAAAGAAGCTAAATTCTGAATGTATTATTTTGATGATTATTTTAAACCTATTATCTTAATATTGGTTTCTGCTACGAGCGCAAAAAAAACCCAAAAAACCTTAATGAATCTGCTTTGTTCCTGACAATAATCCTTCTCCTCTGAGGAACAGCAGCGGAAGATCCTTTTTGTGACTGTTGTTTTACAATAATCATCATATTTTCTGTCGATAAGCTGAGGTGAATATTATTTTAGGAAAGTTCATCCACCTGAAACTGCCTCACTTGTTTCATTTTGTTTCTTACAATCCCCAGAACGGCTGTCCAGTGTCCAGAGTTAAAAATATCTGACCTTGACTCAGACAACACAGTTAGAGTCTTCAGTTAAGAAAAGGTGAGTCGACCTTGATTCAAACCTTAACCTGTCTTCAAGCTGCAATGCATTATGGGCTGATCTGTGCTCTTACAGATGTGAATAATGGTCACGGCTCTGGAGATGGATTTCTCCGCAGGATTTTTTCGACAGCACTGGAACGAGATTGACTGATGTGCTGGTATACCCTAGTGGACGACTTCAGAAATATTCTGTGGAACTGATTTAAAACTAGGGCTGGTTCGATCTGATACCCAGCATCGGCATCTGTCCGATATTGATCAAAAACCACTGTAGCTCATCTGATCCGATACCAAAGCCCAAATGCTAATGGGGGATAGAAGAAGGTATCGGACTGATATTCCAAATCACAGTATTTGACATAAAAGGTTGTGCTATCCCTAATTATATGTAAACAACTTATGCGCTAAAGAAAACCCCCACGATCCTCACCATCAACAGATTAAGTTCAGTTTTTCTTCAACTACTTCACACACGTCTGCTCCAATGTCACTTGTGCTGATGCCAGAAAATGTGAAACAATGCAGTATATAGGTCCAATATCACAATGTAATTATAATATAATACAGCAGTAGAGTTGAACTCTACCCTGAGCCTCAGCTGTAGTACTGTTTGGATATCTGTGTGTACATTAGCGCTGCATTTCACAGAGCGTGAGCTCCGATTTCTAGACATTTTTTTTGTAATCTCATACATGTCTCGGTCCCAGGGGTGTTTTAACTCCGACTTGTTCTGCCAACTGTCTCTCACCGTCGTTGGTCTTAAACCCAGTTGGACTTTTTTTTCCCCCTTTCTAATAAATGACCAGCTGCTAACACTGCAGACCGACCTGTGAGTTCCCAGCAGCGCTGTACAATGATTTTTTTTATTACTACTGTATGACTGCAGATGATGCTGAATTAAAACACATGCATTACAGACTCGCCATTATACCCAGAATACACCACTGCTGTAGTTCCACCACAGTTACAGATCATCGGTTATTATACACATTCTACTGTCTGTACAACGCATGATATATGGACGTAATGTGTTGGAATTCTGTCATTATTTTGTTTAAATATCACCGACAAAACAGACCACTGTAGTAGCAATGAAAAAAAAAACCTCAAACAGCAATTTAAATAATCCCTGTGGAACCGTGGGGCTATGTTTTCAGATATTTCCTGTTTCTGATCCTCAGTCGTTTCTGTCGTTCATTCATTCGTTTTGTTCTTCTGAATTTGACTGACATTTGAATCAACAAACGTCTCATTTAAGAAAAAACAAGCTGTCAAGACAATCAGACGGTGTGGTGTTAAAAGTGTGAAAACTAAATTAAATTCTCTCCCCACATCCAGGCAAAACATCAGAACTTTTTACTTGCAAGTCAAGGCGTTATCTACATTTTGTCAGTGGAGCTGCGGAGATATTGAAATTTAAGTCAACCTCACATCTCCAGAAGGACAACAGATATTGAAAGTCAACCTCACATCTCCAGAAGGACAGGCTGCTGGTCTGAATGTGTAGTGAGTACGTCTAAGACTGCTTAGGAAAAAAAACTTTTGCCTCTGCTTATTGATCTGGAAGAAAACCAAACTCACTGCATAGAAAATATTATAACGAGCGAAGGGCAGGAGCACAGGAGCAGCAGTGGTCAGTCCACACCACAATGACCATGTTCTTCACCGACAGATCAGAGCCACAGTGGACGGAACAAGAACCATTGTAGAGAGAGTGTGTATTTTTTACTCCGGTGATGCTCACACGGCATTGAACTGTTTAAATTCTTTTATCAAAAAGCTGAGAGGTTTGACATTTGTATGTGTCTCTTCAGCCAACGAAGCCTCCTCTCCAGTGGTTCGTCTTCACTGTCAACAGTGAATGTGGTGGAATTCACACAGCACACATGTGCATACACCAACACGGGCGCAGCGCATTCACACATGTACATGGCGCACATATTAAACACATACGCACGCACGCACGCGCACGCACACACGCCAAAGCACGTTCATCCAAAAGCAGCGCTCCTACCTCCAGACCTGTCCCAGCTGGAGGACGTGCAGCACGGTTTGAAAGACCCACATGCAGACGGTGCAGCACCTCCGAGGTTGGCCGACCCTCCCTGCCGTGTCAGCCGGGACAGTGGACGTGTAAACCGGCGGAACGTTGCTGTCGTTCTCGCCGCGCTGGTCGCTGTCCTTGGTGCTTAAAGTGCTGTCGGCTGCCGCGCCTGCCGCGCTCCCTCCGCCTGCCGCCGCCGCCGCTCCGCCCCCGCCGCTCCGTCCCCGCCGCTCTGATCCGAGTAGTCATACACGAACCACCTGAAACTCAACACCTGGACGACGGCGGAGGGCACCACCACAAAGACGAGCGTCAAGCCGAACCACCAGTAGTCGCCTCTCAGGTAGTAGTCGGCGGCCAGCCACAGGTCAGTCGCGCCGTCGGAGAAAAAGACGAGCAGGGCGCAGAGCACCCAGCAGCAGTCCAGCAGGGTGTAGGGTTTTCCGCCCGCCGAGGTGCAGCGGGGCCGGGCGGCGGCGGGGATCCCCGGCTCCGAGAGGCTCCTGGGCGTGTTGTCATCTTCCACAGACACCGCTGCTCCATCCGACTTAGCGGCCATGTTGGTTAGGATAGGGGAGAAAGACGGAAAGAGGTGGGGAAACTGGAAAGGGAGAGAGAGGGAGAGACAAGTAGAGAGAGAGTGACAGAGGTGGGAGGGGGGATGCTTGTGTGCAGGAGAGAGGAGAGAGAGTGAGAGAGATTACATCATAACTAGCCTCATCATCAACCAATTAATTGTGAGGCGTCATTTCTAAAAGTGCCTTCAACGCCGCGCGTTGGACATTCAACTGACAACAGTAGAAATCAGCCACCGACACTGACCCGAGGAGATTCTATCTCATCATATTTTCTATCTGTCATCAAATCTATTCGACATCATCTTTTCCCCCCTGTCCCTGCAGCAGCAGCAGCAGCAGCAGTGCCTCAGCTCCACATGGTCACTGTTGGTCCCCTCATTCTTGTTCATCTCCCTCTGACGCTGTGCGTCCTTCACCGTGTCCGTTCCCTTAACACACTGTCAGTCTTCAGACCAGGCGACATGTCAAATGTGCCATGACTTAAAATCACCAGGTTTTATTTTTCGCGACGGTGCGTAAATAAATCATCTCACCAACATGTTCTGTCGCTCAATATTTACCTTTCACGGAGGTTCGTCCCGCTTCGTGTTTGCACAGGTGCATGAATTCAAACGAGCGTTTCGGTCTATTGTCTTGCTGGACAAAAAAAAAAAGAATAAAAAAAAGTAGAGGGTTTCACCAGGGAAACAGGACCAGCACGGTCTGATGTATTGACTGTGTTCTTCCCATTTCCATTTCCATTGTCCCGCACTGCTTTCATTATTGCATTTTAAACAAACCCCGAGGACGAACTGGCTCAGGGTAATGTATATATCCTAGTTTATATGTCTGTGCTAATTAACCCGTTAATTAGCAAAGAAATTCCCGCTTGGATAGATGCAATGTAAAGATTGCAGTACTTGCAATTAAACTCTTTATGTTATATATCTTATATATAGTATCGTATAAATATATAATACAATATATAATATATAAATAGTACAGAGCACCTGTGGGGAAAAAAACTGTAAGAAATCCATATAATTTAATTTAATAATAATTAAACACCGGCATTATCCCAAAGATTTCTCAGTTAGAGTTAAATATGGGTTTTTCAACCTCAGGTTCTGCAACCTCAGGTAGGGCCGCCTGGACTTCAAAAGGGGTCGCAATGTCTGAAATGTCTGGTCATCAAGTGCCAATCTTGATAATTAGACCAATCACCGTTAGCGGTTTAGGCTATTGAGGAAACGACTGCTTATATTCAATGACATATCTGAGAGTTTAGGCTAATGGGGGAACTACTGCTTATATTCAATGACATATCTGAGCTACCCTGCTACATGTAGTAACAAAGTACCACAGTACTGCTAACGTCTGAGACTGCATCAGGAAAAGGGAGTTCGTTCATGAACTTTAGGTAAAAACAGTATCAATGTCAGTGAAATCCAGTAGAATAACAAGAATGTGTCCGACACTTAGTGATGTTAAGAAGTTATGTTGATAAAACTAAGTCCAAAACTAAACCAAGGTCTTTGAACAACGGTCATTATCAAACCCAAAAGGTTTTGAGTTTTTAAATAAATTACTATTTGACTTTCCTAAACTGAGACAAAAGGCTTATTAGGAGCACATTGTTACAATTTCAAGTAGCTTTGCTAAATGATTAAACTGAAATCAAACAAAAATATTCAAAGGTGGAGACTGCCTTAAAAAAAACAAAAACCCAAAAGGATTAAAACTGCAAGGCCAGACACTTCCAGAGAATAAATTAAAAAATGATAAAATCTTGGGAAAGTAAAAACCAGTCAGCCAAGGACTTGGTGTGTGTGGAGAGGCTGTGGCTCCAAAAAGAAGTTTTAATGACTTTTTTTTTCTTCCTGTTTGAGCTGCTGCTTCAGACTATTAGATCTCTGTGATCTCACACATTAGGAACAACTGTAATGTTTGTAATAGTAGTAGTGGTGTTGTCAGCCAAAAACATACTGAATAAGGATGTGTTAATATTACTTTTTAAAAGCATACACACGTAAATACACTTTTAGCACAGAGGGATAAATATCAGGAGTGAAGAGAAGGTCAGAGCCGTCACCTAGACTCTTCTTCTGAGACGAGCTGACAGTGGCTGCAGTAACAGTCCGTCCCAGTAAGGGTCCATCAGCACCACTGGGTCCAGAGCAGCGCGGCTCTTCCACCTCACACACTCAGCCTCAGTTTCAGCAGCAGGTCCTTTAAAGTACATTTCCTCATTTTAACGAGGCCGTGATGCATTAAGCTGACGACACACAGAGCGACTGGTCTGTTTGCAGTGGTGACCGTACTAATTGAAAAGATCCCATAAACTCGGAGTATAATAGGCAGTGAAACCCTTCGGTGAATTATGGCTCCGACGTCTCTGCGCTTCACTGCCCCCAATAAATTAATCAGCTGCTGTGTCTCCACCTTGGTTCAGAACGGGGCTTATCAGAGCTGGGCTGAGTCTCCACTGTGAGCGGACCATAACACCAGGCCCAGTTTGTAAATCTGGAGTTTATCACTCCCCGTTTAAAAAACGTCTGCAGCAGCAGCAGCAGCAGCCACATCCACAGGTTCGTTCCCTTCTTTGGGCCTCGGCCCTGTCAGGACCTGATGTGAAAACTAACATGATTTAGGTGATGAGTGAAGTTCTTCCACGAGCCCTGATGGGCCTTTAAATGGAGAGCAGTGTTACAGAAGCTTCAGATTTGACTATTCTGGGACTGAGTGGAAAAGCTCATTCTGGATTTATTACATTATTAACTTATGAGTTAATTACTGTTGAGGCCGGTGGACCCTCAAGGCAAAAAAAAAAAAAAAAAATCCTCTCAGTTTAAAAATAGAAACATCAATTTCAATGATTCTAACGTTTTCTTACTCCAGTCCTTCGTACAGGGCTGTAGACTTCAACGATCTGCATAAATTTATAATTTTTTAAACAAACTGACTTTGACAGACATCTACACTTAGACTTTTGATTTAGGCTGTCTTCTGTTGTTCAGCCACAGCAACACTTTCTGTTGAAACATTAATGATTTTTTAAGGATAACAATACTTGTCTTTCTGCTGCCGTTCAATAAAACCACAAAGTGTAAATAAATATTTACACTTTGTTCAATTTAAAGCAGCCGTCGCGCAGACATTGCTGCTTATAGTAGAGTTTATTTTTATTACAAACACATATGCTCCCTCTAGGTGGTGCTATAAATGCAGTTAAGATGCCTTAGTGCACAGTTTGAGTACTGGTATGTCAAAATAGTTCTGATCTAGTGCAGTAGACGGTGGAACCGTTCTTTGCATTATGGTGTGAAAACTGGTCATCGTTCACAGAGTTTAGGAAATGAAACTTAGGACGACTGACCAGTGGTCAAGTAATTAGTTGTACTGTCCTGTGTACTGCACCACAGAGCTCCCAATGTCCTAGGGAGTCGTACACCGCCAACAATGGTCTGAAAAATTTTAGTTAATTTTGAAACATAAAATAACAATTAAAAAAAATCTCAAAATTGCATTCTGCACAAAATAGGTTTTATTTGGAATTTTATTACTTTACTGTATTACTAAGTATTTTTATATAACCATGGTTTGTTGTGCAACATTGTGTATCTTTGAAGTCTTTAAACCATGGTTTGTTGTGCTAATTCAATGAATGAATCCTGCAACATTGTGTATCTTTGAAGTCTTTGCAACAGAAAGGAAAAAAAACATAAATACAGACAAAGTGGAAAAAACACAACAATATATACCTGGGCAAAAAATGAGAAAAAAATACTGTAAAAAAGATTTGTTTTCAATATATACAGTATCTATATTTATATATATCTTCCTACAAACTCCTGGAGCTGGAGTGTCGGCCTCTTTGTTGCCTGTACAACGGTTTAAAATACCAAAAACCCTGTTCATGAATTAGTGAAAACATGGCCCATCAATGCAGAGACCACATCAGGTTGCTCCACGTATAATATTTGTGTTGCAGAAACAACACTCCCCTGGAGGCTGTGGTGTTTTTTCTCCTCTTTTCCTCCCATAACTTGTGTTGTTTGTATCACTCACAGGCTGCACATATCCTGACAAATGAGGGTCATTATCAGTTTGAGAGCAGAGGGATCTAATTAGAGGTCTCAGATCAGCGCTGCCACTGCTGTGATACACTTTAGTGAATGCAGACACACTCCGAGTGTCAGAGGAGATCCTGGAACATCTGCACAATCCCAACTGTTTATTAAAACTTATTTATTGTTTTTAGCAGGTCATATTATTTATGTATGTATCGTTTGTTAACGATACATAGCTAGCTCGCGCATAATGGACAGGTTTTTGACTCTGCTGTGTTTCTTTAATCCCAACAGGAAGTGGCAACTGAAGTCAGGCGATAATGTGTCATATAGGTCAGTGCCTTTCAAAGTGGAGGCTGCTGCTCCCTGGTACGCCACTAGGGGCACTAAGGGGCATCCAAAAATTGGATGAAAGATTACAAAAAAAAATTATTTTATAGCCATTTGTGCTGAAGCGTCCAACACTGTTGTAATTGTTAGATTCTCAAGTTTCCGATGGCACCTGAACGCACCTCGTGTGACAGCAGCAACTTCGGCATGGCAACATCATAATCTGTGTAGACCTGGAGGTTTTAAGCCTGTTGACAAGCTGCTCTGCTCCTTAAGCTAGCGGATAGCTAGCTTAAAGAACAAGATATAATGTAGCTAGCTAGCGCATTTCTTATGCTAAACAAATGTATTAATTGAAAACATGTTTGCTAATTATTTTCTTATGCTAAACAAATGTATTAATTATGAAGAGGTGAGAAAAGTCAAAAGTTTTTGTATATTTTGATGCATCGTCTGTGGGTTGGCACAGGGAGTCCCCGCCCAGAAACTAATGCTGTTAAGGAGGCCCTGGCATGGAAATGTTTTGGAACCCTGGTATAGGTAACAGTGTCTGTCTTGAGATTTAATTCTGGTCTATCCCACCATAAAGTAAATTTGTTTTGACTGAAACCTAGCGCTGACGAAGCTGATAAATGTTCACTGAC